GAAGTGTTGAAATAACAGTTTGGTGTTGGGAAAAAACTCCAGTAATATACAACTAGTCTGTACAATACTGGTGACTGACTCTATTCAGTTCAAGTTATCACACGAGGGAATAGATTCTGAGCCCTCATTAACCTGTAATCAGAAAAATTAAAGATTGTTAACTTGGACAAATATCAAATTCATAATATACTCACTCGAAGGGTTTACTCAAACCCGACTGTGTGAAATATTGCATGTAGGTTCATTTCATGTTTTAGATGTGCAATAAAAAAGGATTTTTCAATATTCCAAGTGAAGCGCCCCACTGAGGTAAAAGGGGCGCTTTACATATGAAAATTATCTTTTCATCACTGTTTCTCCGTACCACTATATTTTCGAAGGCTGAAATTTTGTATGTAGGTTCGTTTTATATTGTAGATATGCAATAAAAAAGGATTTTTGAATATTCCAGCCGCGAGGGAAAAAGGTGCGTCCATAAAACAAAATTATCTTTTTATAAGTTTCTCCATGCTCTTAAAATTTCGGTGGTCAATTTATATTCAGTATGAGCATTGCACCCGTGCGGATCCCGAGCGGGTCGCTAGTCAATTATGTTGGAGAACAAATACAGTAACAAAAATATGTAAGTATAATGATATAATGATAATAAGTTCAACGTTTTATGTTATTATTTTTATGGTTGGACATTTTTTTATTGTATTGCTTGAATTGGAACTAAAGACACTTTCAAACATCAACACTGCCTCAGTAATAATAGTAGTATCGATGAATATGCTATACTCAATCTGAAAAATTCTTTCTAATTTTATTGTCCCTAGCTAGCTTTCACAAAAAAAACCTCTCAATTGATTATAAACAGTACAGTATCTCCTACCTCGATTCGATATAAAAAATGTCTATTCATATAATGAAAACAAAAAATAATGGAAATAGCATCTGACCATATCAGTTTGAAATGTATTACAGATCCTAATCTCATCATTTCTTATTCAAGTAACGCTTCAATATGAGATCACTGGACAGTTTACAAAACCTCAACATGTGTTTCACTATACAATAGCTTCCTCAGGCGTGTTCGTACTGTATGAAGCCTACTACTTACCTTATAACAAAAGGTAATATTTTTTCCCAAAATCAAAATGTTATAATTTCAAAAGGGTTAACTGATGTACCAAATTCAAAGTTGCTTCCTCCCACGTGTATATTTTCCGTTGTAAAGTGATTCCAATACGTTTGAATATTATATCCACTTAATGGCGAGTAGAGAATGGATGCACGCATCCAGCATAAATGATGAGCAAACAGGAAGTTAATTTGTTATAGCTTATTCAGTGTTTTGTATATTTTAAATAACTCATGAATTATGTATTTTATAATGCTGAACAATGAACTACGTTGATTTGAATAATGAAACGTAGATTTTATTGAATTCATTATCGACCGTATTGTCCGAATATTTCAACAAGGGGAGAGTTGAGAGCTCAAGCACTCTTAAATCTCAAAGGCCAAAAAAACCAATACACAGAAATGAACCGGCAATGAACTAGTCCACGTGGACTGTAGACTTGGCGGTTCCTATTAGATAATTTTTACTAACCGAGTTTTATGATTGGCTGAAGAGTCATAAAATTTTATTTGAAGTCATGTTACGGTGACGAATAGAAATCAGGGAATTCGGGGATGGTTATCGCCGTCGTTTTCAGTTCAGGAACTGATCGCGATTTGAGTGTTGAAATTCGATATTGGTGCAGTTATAATAACTTAAATTTTTTGTTTTCTGTTCAAAATGTGACGTCCTTGGCCGAGTATCAGTAGTAATAATTAGTGTGACGCAGACTTTTTCCAGTGTAGTGATAACAAAAGCGATGGTGAGCCATGCGAAAAAGAGATACCACTGATTAAGATTCAGATGCATTTGAATATTGAAACACAGAGAGTATGTTTCAATCTATATAAGAGTCTCCATCTCGAATTTGATTTCAAGGGAAACAAACTATTATAATAAACATCAGATTTGACCGAAATTCCTTTCTCAACTGTACGTAAAATAGTCAAAAACTAACCTTATGAACTCAAGACGGGATGTGAAACAGGATTATCAAAATCTTCAGATGTTCATCTGATAAAATTATTAAAAAAAACAATATACGACTGGTACAAAAGCAATGAGATTCCTACAACTGAAATCATCAGGAAGAAATTGAATACTTCCGGCCATAACGTGAGCCGTTATGACGAAATGTGACAGAATGGAATAAAGTAACTAGGATTTTCATTTGAAATAACAAACAAACTTCAAGCAGTTATGGAAAATAGAAGAATAGTGGAATTGCGTAACAAATATTTGATTTCTTTCGAATGCATTTAATGATTTACAGTTTTTTATGTTCTCTGTTGATATAAAAATTTCCTATTTTATTTCTAGTGGAGTGTACAACTTGTTGTTGTAGGTTAACTGATCACTCTGGCATCTTAATGAATATAAAAAAAAATTATTGACATCTGAGAAATTCCACTGTGGTAACTGATTATTGGCCTCATCTTATTTGAGTAAGCACAACAATTGCTTTTTATCCATAAATAATTTGGTAATCAATCATTCATCATACCTCGATGAGAGAAAATATTTGGTTTCACTTAATATAGACTTTTTAACCCAGATACCATATACGACATACCAATTCTGGTAATTGGTAAATACCTGTTTCGGTAAAACGGGTCACAAGATATAACACTAAAAATTCAGGAAATTCCAGAAAAATACGTTTTGTGTAAAGAAAAATTGACCAAAATATTGAATTACTTTGCTATCTGAGAGAAATTAATTTCTTATCTAATCTCGATTTTTTCAACGGGGATAAATACAAATCACTTATAGTTTCTTTCATTCTTTTGAAAAAACATATGATGAAATTATGTATATACACAAATTGCGGTGTTGCCACAATGTGCAAAATATTCTCACGTAGCAACGCACTAATCGAAAAATGCATTAATTTCCAGAGAAATGAGCTTTTGAAATCATTTAGAAATGAAATGAGTTACGACAATTATTCGACAAATTCCTATTGATAACAAAAATTTTACCATTTGAGTATTTTCAAGAATTTTATTGGGTTGGCTGTGCTAATTTGATATCAAGTTAGCAGATCTATCCCTAATAAAAAAAGTAAGGGCGCGACATATTTTCTTTCACAATAAATTCTCGACATTCATTGATGAAATATATTTCAGTTATTTCACTGCAAGTGGCCAAGCTCACCATAAAGAGATAACATACAGTGAATGTCAAACATTAGGTATAACATATTCGGTTCAAACTAATAACATAAAAGCAATATCCATAGATGAAATCCAAATTGGAACCAGTGCCCAAAAATATAGCAATCGTGATTCAACACCAGAGGACGGTATTTCAACTCACTTTCTCGTCAGTGGTATTAGGCTGAACAACGATGCATTGCTTGACAAACCTGAGAAATTAAAGTAGATGGCATATCCCCTTACGATGATGCTATCTATGGGATTGATCCGTATCACGAATATCAGAGATAAAAGAGGCGCTCCAAGGCGGTGAGTTGTAAAGCAAAGCTTCGACATAGGTAATTGGAAACTAGTTTCAAGTAGTTGCTTCACTTTGATCACAGTAACATATATTTGATAATGATAACGTATACATTTATTTACAATATATTACCACAGCTTGCAATCAATAAACATATATAACAATTATATGTTCCGACAAAAAAAAAGAATTCCAGTTATATATGTTCATCTGAATTCCATCTACCTGCCCATACCACTAACCCAACCCACAGTCTTTACCTTGACTCGGATGAAAGAGATTCTAAAACAATCGCTTTTGCATTCAACAGATCATACAAATTAGGTATCTCAGGAAATTCAAGAAACTTTGGCAGATATAGATATGTTTATTGAAATATTTCTATTTACCCTATGAAGTTAACTAATATACACTTTTTCTGAAATGTCATCTATTATTATCTCATATATGTGGATAATTTTACTTGGAAGCATATTCATGAGAACTGCGAAAACGACATAGCCTTTCAAGATTGAAAGAAATAATTATTCAACCTACAACCGACCTGCGGAAGTTGTTAACCTTCACTGGGATGAAGGATAATTCGTTATTTGATGAATACAACGCTGTGAAACATTAAAAAAACGAATTTTTTGGTAACGAAAAGATGAGAGCAAATAAGAAAGTTTGGCCATACTTTACGATGTTACCTAAATATTTGGAAATACACATCAAATACTTAGATATCAGATGATTTGCAACTTGCCATGGCAATTCAAACACGATTCATCAATAATACAAGATAATCAGTACTACTCAGTAAATATGTTTTGAATGAATATTTTCAGTTCTTATATTTATTAAGCAGTCAACCGGTAGGTAGATACTTCAATCTCAAACAGCTTTATTTCTTTTCAAAAATATCACTTATAATTGCCTACTTATTATATGTAGCAGAAGATTAAGGAAAACCCCAATGTTTCTATACAATCAAAAATAGGAAGGTTCCTTCGCAGGTGTCCTATTTCAATGATTTGGAAAATGATTTTCGGAAAAATTGCATTATCTTCTATAAATACTAGTAGGTATCTCTTGTTTACATTTCATTCATCAAATTGACACCACATGGTCCAATTTGACTTTGAGGGGTTCCCTACTGTACGAGTACCTCAGGACAACTCCATTTTTATGAAGAAAAGTATTCAAGTCTCCTCAAAGCTTCGTTTGAAGGAAAATTGTGAATTGTGTCGCTCACAATTTGAAAATTTGATTGAACTCATCCATTGGATAACTAGCAACGGTCAAAGCAATAATTTCTAGGGGTTAAAGACAAATCTGAATATCCATGATAAGGAAATATAAATAAACATTTTACCAGCTATTAAGATTAAGATATAACTCATTAAATTTTATAGGCAATCGTTTTCAATTCCTTTTGAATCATTAGACAACTTACCGTAAACACTCTACACAATATCCAGTTACCACTCAAATCAAAACAAACACACACCACTTTGTAGGCATCTCGAACTAAAGATAGGCGGTATGGACTGAACTATACCGGGGGTCACCCATGAACAGTTTTTGAATAGTTATTGTTTCCTGTATGCAACGTGTTTTGGTGATGACGAAACAGACGAAGATGCATTTAGCGCCGCTTAGGGTCGACACTCGCCGCAGTCGACGCTAGACTTCTCTCCGATTTCAAAGCTCTAGCTGAAGCGGTTTCAGATTCGAATTTGTTGCTTTCAAACAGGTTCTAGGGCTTCACGCTACCAATGATGTGTGTTGCGACATCTAGCGGCTAGTAGCTCTGATGGATTGAGTAGAAGAAAGGGAACTAGCCTCATTTTGTTTTACAGATACATTCAGGATCTCTCTTCAAACAACGATTGTACTGAAACAAAAATCTTCAAACTACAGATTAACTAATTAATGTTTAGATGATGATTCAACAACGTGCAAATATACGTAAGCTACATAAAAATTCGAAACCACCACTCGATAGTAATGTAATCAGATCATAGATGGCCAATGAACTATTTGATATTATTGAAATAACAAGTTCTTGTTTTCAAATTCGAGTCAGGTTGGAAATTCAATTGAAAATGTTTCCATATATAAAAAAATTAATGTTTGATAATAATTATCGTAATTTATTTACAGTTTCAGAAAATGAAAAAGCACTTTTTCGACACCAGAAAAAAAACAATATTTTTGACTCACTTATCCATAGTCAAGTTAGCGTCATCAGGAGATGGAGGCAGAATTTTTACATTTGGAATAAGTCTATTTATATAATCATTAGATCAGCTAATGATGTATATAATTGTTTTAGATTGTAATAATATCTCAGTTCCTATTTATATTTTCATTCATATTTGCCTGAATTCTTTTTGTGTTAGAGAGTAAAAAACGCCGAATTGGACTTTCATAGATCTCATCACACAATTTTTGATTATCAAAATACCAAAAGCGTCTAGAACATGTTGTTATGTACCTGTCTCAACAATTTCAAGCATTCACCACCAATTCTGTGATCGATATCTATGGCATCTTGACCGATACTGAATTTTTCTGGTCTACGAAACAGAATATTCGAAACATATTCTTTGAAAATTGTAATCATAGTTCGCTTCGATTGACCAACATACTTTTTGTCACAATCCCCACGCGTTATTTCGTGAATCACAAACCGTTCTTTTTACGTCACCCTGTCTTGAGTTTCCGAATATCTGTTGGAGTGTACGAGCAGTTTGGAAAATCACTTTTATAGGAAAGAAAGATTTTGGCTTTCTACTTCTACTTCTTTGCTTAGGTCACTGCCTATACCGGTGTCCGTTATCCGAATGTATCAAATTATAAACTCTCATTGGCATTTCTCATAACTGAAACTTTCAGAAAT